CCCCAAAACCCCAAAACCCCAAAACCCCAAAACCCCATACTTAGAGAGCCAAATTGATGGAGATAAATTTGGAAAACTTTGATAATGGCGAAATTCTTACCTCTTGATTATCTCAAGATCCATTGTCATTGCTTCTTGTAAGTCATACCCATGGTGTTGGACTATTGGGGATACTTCGCAGAGAGCATCGAACTGCTCTTGAGTGTATTTCTTGAAGAATCCTCTTAGTGACTTGTAAAGACAGATCTTATAAAAGAAGTCTCTATTGGCCTCTTCATCATCTTTATCCCATCTTTGGTCGTTGGCAGCAAGGAACTTCAGCATTTTAGGACACCGTTTAGAGTTGTTCTCCCACCCGATGAAGTGTTGGTAAAAATTTCCATTAGGGTCTTGCTTATCTGCATGCTCTTCATCTTGACCACAAACATATCACCAAAGAATATTTCATTTATCGCAGGTCATTTTGTTGCAAGCATCATTTTTGAGGCCTCCACTTTTGCACTTGGGACATACTCTTTGTTCCCCTTCAATTAATGCTCTTAGCCAGTCTTGATTTATTTGCAAGTATTTGGATCATTCAGAGTGAGACATTACTTCTCTTTCAAGTTTGCCAGTTCTGCTTTTTGTTACTATAGCGCTCTCGGAAACCTTTAAATTAGGAATAAATCGTACTTTTAAATCTTTGTCACAGACTAGGCAAGTCCCTTTTCTACATTCTTTATTTCGGCAATAAAAGAAGATTGAGTTATTATCAATTCTCCAAATCTCAAAATACTCTCAGTATTGTCAGTGCACAGCCTTGTGTAACTTTGGGTCAAGTCTGTTTAAAGCATAGTACTTTTCATAGGTAATCTTTTGCTCAGACGATAATTGTCTCTCAACTTGCTGTGTATCGATCTCAGTTTTACAGAAGCATCATTGAGCAGGAATCTGTGTCTCAGGTTTATTCAGCATATTCTGAACAAAAAGACCACTACAGTCAGGTCAAATATGATGCCCCTGGCTTCAAACAATGCCTGGAATATCTCCTTCTAAAGTTTCTTCGCACACTGAGCAAGTTTGTTCTTCACCTGAATTATTTTTCATTACTAACTAAATTATTGAATTCAGCTTGGCTAACTTTTCAGGGGTTTTGGGGTTTTGGGGTTTTGGGGTTTTGGGG